AAAAAAAAAAAAAAAAAAAAAAAAGAACCCGTATTATTTTTAACTTGTGGCCAGGCCTTAAAATTTCAGGGAAATCGCGCAATGCTAAAACTGTCCTTCTGTAAATGCAAAACCTAAAAACAAAAATAAGAACCTCCCATAAATACTTTAGTTTCTCTAGATATAACTTAACAAGCTTCTCTAACAATCTTGCCTATTAACTATTATTAGAACCACAAATATAGTTTAGTTTTCATTTGTTTGCTCTAACTTTGTAGGTCTCCCAGAAAAGTCCTTGGACTAATAAATTCTGTGAATGTCCTTTATTGTCCATGTTGTGAAAATGACGCCTTGCCTCTGTGCTTAGAGCTGCTATGGAGAGAGTTACTAAAGCCAAACTGAGAAATGGCATGTACAGTATTCACACGTCTCCTATCTGGAAGGCAAAGATAGGTGGGGAAAATCCCAGTTCCTTAAGCTTGGCAACATACAGTGAGGGCTAAAGGCCAGAAAAAAACCTTCTTGATGGATGCTGCTTGGTTTAATATTGCTGAGCATAGTTGTGTTTAAGTTTTAAATAGCTTTCTTGGTCTATTTATAAATATCCCTTGCCCACACATTAGAAAATACCAAAAAAGTACAAAGAACAGTAGATCATCCATAATCCTATCACCCGGAGATGATTGTTAACCTTAGGTGTATTTTCTATAAAAGTTTTTCAATCGTTAGAAATTCATATAACTAATATATATGTTTTAAAATAGATCAATTTTCAAGAAACCAGAGTTTTCTCTTTTAAAATAAATTTTATTGTTTTTAAGGTGTCCAACATAGAATTATATAGTAAAATGATTATTTAATGTAACAAATAGAGACATCTGTGAAAATGAGGGCAAGCATGATTGTCAAACTGCAAAGATAATTCTGACTTAGACTGTTAGCTTTTCATTCTCAGAGCTGTTGCATGGAAATTTTTATTGCTATTTTTTTTTTTTTCTTTTCAAGTGGATTACTCTTTCAGAGCAGTGTAACCAAATTAATAGCAAAATAAGCAATAACAGCCAGAGGGGGTCTAAAACTATGGCTCCCAAAGAACTTGCCTGGTCTTTAGAATCTTTGGGGAAACTTTAAGAATATAGCCGGGTGTGGTGCTGCACACCTGTAATCCCAGCACTCGGAAGCTGAGGCAGGAGAATCATTGTGAGTTCAAGACCAGCTTGGGCTACAAAGTGAGCTCAAGGCTGATCTGAACTACATAGTGAGACCCTGTCTCAAAAAGACCAAAAAAAAAAAAAAAAAGAATATAGCTACCCCCTTAGTTCTACCCTCTCAGAGGTCTACTATAGCCTATAAGTCACAGAACTCTGAATCAATCTTTCTTCCTTCCTTCCCTCTTCCCTCTCCCTCTTTTTTTTCTTCCTTCCTTCCTTCCTCTCTCCTTCCCTCTCTCTCTCTCTTCCTTCTCTTTCTTTCTGTCTATAAGAAAGGAACTAACTCCTTAGCCTATGTGGCCAGAAAGGTTTGAGAACACTGGTCCAGAACCCAGCAAATTAGACATCATTGTTTCCAACCCTTTCATTTCTCAAACAGGGAAACAGAATCCTCCTCTGAGTGTTGTAAGCAGATCACTTATGACCCTATTGCCAGCCAAGGGCAGAGGCAGACACAGTGCAGATGTAATCATCTGGTATTGTACGCCCTGCCTGTAATTCTATCAGTACAAAAATTGTACATGTGTATTGGGGTTCAGGCAGAGAACATTTCAGATGTAGGTGATAACCCTTCTTCCTTTTGCATTCCAGAATGATCCAGGTTTTGGATCCACGTCCTTTGACAGGTTCAGTTATGCCAGTGGATGTGGCCATGAGGCTTTGCTTGGCTCATTCACCACCTCTGAAGAATTTCCTGGGTCCTTACAATGACTTTCAAAGAAGAAATTTTGTGAATAAATTAAAACCCCTGAAACCGTGTCTCAACCTCAAACAGGAAGCCAAATCACAGAACGAATGGAAGCGCTCACACAACCAAGCCAAGAAGCGGGTGGTATTTGCTGACTCCAAGGGCCTCTCTCTGACTGCTATCCATGTCTTCTCTGACCTCCCAGAAGATCCTGCATGGGATCTCCAGTTTGACCTCTTGGATCTTAATGATATCTCCTCTGGCTTAAAACTCCATGAGGAGAAAAACTTGATTTTAGATTTTCCTCAGCCTGCAACTGATTACTTAAGTTTCCGGAACAATTTTCAGAAGAACTTTGTCTGCCTGGAGAACTGCTCTTTGCAAGAGCGCACAGTGACTGGGACTGTCAAAGTGAAAAACATGAGCTTTGAGAAGAGAGTTCAGGTCCGTATCACTTTTGATAGTTGGAAAAGCTACACAGATGTGGACTGTGTCTACATGAAGAATGTGTATGGCAGCTCTGATAGTGACACCTTCTCATTTACCATTGACTTACCCCTTGTCATTCCAACTGAGGAGAAAATTGAGTTCTGCATTTCTTACCATGCTAATGGGCAGGTCTTCTGGGACAACAATGAGGGTCAGAATTACAGAATTGTCCATGTACAGTGGAAGCCTGATGGGGTACAGGCGCACATGGCACCCCAAGACTGTGCATTCCACCAGGCGCCCCATAAGACTGAGTTAGAGTCAACAGTCTTTGGCAGTCCAAGGATGGCTAGTGGGCTCTTTCCAGAATGGCAGAGCTGGGGGAGAATGGAGAACTTGGCATCTTATCGATGAATTAAGCAACCTAGTGTCTGCTCTTGACTTGTCATAGTCCCTGTGCAATTCTAGGTCGGTATTGCTCAATATTAGGAAGTATTTGCTACTTTCTTCCATCAGTAGGTTTAGGTTTGAGCTTTGCGGCCTGACTACAGAAGATATGGCCACTTGAGAATTTAGCGTTGGGGTCTGATGTGGATGATGCTACCCAATTTTGTTTTAGAGACTCAAGTAACAGCCTAGGAACTATTTTTAGAAAAATAATGCTTTTTCAGTGCCCTTCCTCCTTCCCTCTCAATTCATTAGCTTTCACATTGGCCAAGCAAAAGTTAAGGAAGGAGAATTGATGGTGATGGAAAGCTGTGTTAATGGTGTGAGGAATGTGTGAGAGGTGTACTGTACAAGAAGGGCTCCGAAGCTCAAGTCAGAGTGGGAGAGAAAGTCCGGTACTTAATTGTCAGTGAGAACATGTAAGGTTGTTTTGTGTTTTAAAGTTGGTTTTATGGTTCTCTCCTGGGCAAATACCTCACAGAGGGGAAAGAGATCCATTTATATATTCTTGTGGAGAAAAGCCAAATAAAATTCCCAGGTTTGGGATGGTACTGGAGGAAGAAGATCTATAATTCTGGAGAATTAAGATCTTAAGGGAAGCTTTTCTGTGTAAACATGATCTTTCAAAAATCATGATGTAGGAAAAGTTTAAGCAAACCTGTCTTTGCAGTCAAATGTGATACAAGACTTTGTGATCAAGACTTGGTTTTTTGGAGCAGAATGCTGATCAATAAAAGCCATGCTGTCACCAATGGCTGACAACGTGTAGGAGCTCAAGGTCACAGCCAAGCTCTTTGCAAGAGCCTTGATTAAACCAGAGCACTCTGGTTGCTTAACCCAAACATCTGAATGGTCATCTGAGGACTCATGGGTGTTTGGCCTCATAAGGAGGTCTGTTATGTACATTGGCATTCCTCCTACAATACTGTTGTATCTTCAAAAGTGCTGTCAGTGTACACAGCCAGGTCCTTCATATTGAAGGTGACTCATTTTTCTGCCGCACTTTTTCAATGTGATATTTGAAGTGAGGATTGACACTAGGGTTCTCAGTACAAGAATCTAGTACCTTGCACGTAGAACTAGCAGTCTCTCTCTTACTTATTTTTGTCTAGCTGTTTTAATTTCCTTTGAAATCAAAATACTTCTTTTTTTTTAGAAAATGGATATAAATTGTTTTTGTGTGTGCATATGTTCATTCTGTAAGATCTTAAGGGCAGGAGTTCCAAAATATTTGCTTCTACAGAGCACATTCATTGAGAGGTGTTAAGAGAATGCAGTTAATTTTAACATGTAATCTGCCATGCTGAAAAAATACTATTGGAATAACTCTGTGATAACAGTATTTGAAGTTTGACTAGCATCCATAATTTTTCTACTGTAAATATTTCACTCCCTTCTAGCTATCCTTCATGAACTTCTCGCTTTAAGAATAAATGTGTTTGATAATAAGATCTGAGAGTGTTTTGTTAAGTCACAATTAGTTAAATAGGAAACTCAACTGACATTCTTCTGTTTTGTTTAGGACTAACCAAGCAGAGTTTTGTTTAGGACTAACCAAGCAGAGTTTGGACCAGGAAGTGGATCCACCTAAGAGTAGTCACATGGCCTCAGTCTCATTAGTAACCACATTTCCTACCACCTGACCACTGGGGCTGTGGTTTGAGCCACTGTGACTGTCCCCTTAACTCCTCTATTGTCACTACTTACCACAGACGTTTTTTGCTGGGTCAGTGTTACCTTGGAGAACATGTTAGCTTCAACATGGGAGAGGAGATGGTGTGAAAGGGCTGGCATAGCTCCTACTTCTTGAGCTCCAGCACTTTTCTGAGGGGCAAAGCTTTGAGCTGTACAGAGGGGCTCTGGAGGCCCAGTGGGGACTCTCCTGGATTGCAGAGTAGCACGGTTTTGTGGGGTGAAAGGCATGCATTTAAGGTGCATGCATTTAAGGTGTTGCTCCAGTTCTGCTTAAAACTCCAAGTGGGGCTTCTGCAGAATGTATTTTAACTGAAGAGGAAATCAATGACCAACTTGCAAAGGCCCATTTATGAAGAGTAAACTTTTATCATATAACATCCTCTACTCCAGAGGTCATAAAGTACTAGTCTGTGGGCTGTGTGTAAGCACAGCTGTATCTTGACACATAGAATATTTTAAAAGGAATTCATTGCCATGATAGAATAATTAGGAGACTATATGAAAGTATGGGTTTTATTTTGTTTTTTCCTATGAAAGCTGAAGGCAGCATTGTGTGGGGCTGAGTGGCAGCTGCCCCGTGTGTGGGGGGCCTGCTGCCCCGGATGAGGCCTGTTACTTTGTGTTGGCTGAAGTCCCCACCCTTGGCTGCTTTCTTGTACACTGTCATCTGGCCTTGGAAAGTGCTAAAGTTCATAACTTCTATTTTGTCTGTCTTGGGTCTCTAAGAGACATGTTGATAGGTGGGTGAAGAACACCCTGTTCCCAAGAGATGGAGCAAACTTAAATTTAAATTTGACAGGGACACTGAAAATCATAAATGCCTGACCTTAGAAAAGAAAAAACTGAGATACAGACAAAGAAAGTGACCAGTTCAAGGTCTTGTGCCTGGTAAGTTGGTTGATCAGTGGGTTTTGATGTAGAGTTCCTTCTTTTTTTTTTTTTTTTTTTTTTGAGACAGGGTCTCTCTATGCAGTTCAGGCTGGCCTTGAGCTCACTTTGTAGCCCAGGTTGGTCTCGAACTCACAACAGTCCTCCTGCCTCAGCCTCCCCAGTGCTGGGATTACAGGTGTGCACCACCACACCTGGCTAGTGTTCCTTCTTGTGCTTTATACCTCCTCCTTGAAGTCTTCCACAGAGAGTTTACCTCTGTAGTGAAAGAGGGAACCGTTTCCAGGTAGATATGAGTCTGACCCTTACTGGCTGCCTGTGCCAGTCTGACCTGATGATACTGGTGTGTCTCTGGGCTGCTGCTAAGGGAGGACTCAATCAAAGATCAGGGTGTTCCTGGGCCTTTACAATCGAACGAGTGCTCACATTCCACGTCCTGACATCTCACGTAATAGTAGAAGCAACTCTCTTTTTAAAATTTAACATGACTTGAATTTTTGATTACCCCCGCTAAAAACCTGGTTTAATTACTTAATGAGAGACTACCTTTTTTCTTCTTTTTCTAAATTCTCCTGTTTATGCCCAAGCAAAAAGGCTGGGAATCCTTAGTATAAGAGTGAACTTTGCATCATTCGATGGGAGTTCCAAAGTTCTGTGCAAGTGGGGTTATCCTTCAGTCTGCAAAGGAAGGATCTTTGGTTTTTGTGTCTAGGTTCTTCATAGATTTCTAGTGCCTCCTGGGAGTTGTGGTCTGTACAGACCCTCTTAGTAGTAGACAGGGATCCCAAATTCAGAGGGGTCCCCACATGCACTTTTGATGACTTCTGCCTCTTTCCCAATCCCTTTTTCTACCAATGGGTGGACACCTACCATTAGGTTTGTTTGTTTGTTTGTTTATTTATTTATTTATTTATTTATTTATTTATTTTTCAGTCTTTTTGAGATAGGATCTCGCTATGCAGTTCAGGCTGGCCTAGAGCTCACTTTGTAGCCCAGGCTGGTCTTGAACTCGCAATGATCCTCCTGCCTCAGCCTCCTGAGTGCTGGGATTACAGGTGTGCACCACCACACCCACTACCATTAGGTTTATAGAATCCTTTCAGCTAGTTGTCCCCAACCTTGGCTGCATAATGGAATCACCTTGTAAGCTTTAAAATACCAATGCTTTCCCTTCACCTCTTAAGACTGCGATAAGTTGGTTTGCGTTGTAGCTCGGGTTGGTCAGTTTTACAAGCTTTCTAGTTTTTCCCAATATGCATCACAGTTGAGGACTTCTAGTGTAAGCTGGGTGAACTGTTTTCAACTGCCCCCTTTTAAAGATCAGAATGGATCAGATGATTTTTCCACCTACTTTCAAAAAATTATAAATGATGAAATGGAGGCTCACAGAAGTTAAAACTGGCGTGAGTGCACAGAAGTGGCAGAGGCTGACTTCCTGACCACTTCTTGCAGCATCCTCACCTCTGCTGACAACACCTCTTGCTGAACAGCCTGAACACTTTGTTTTACTCATCTTTTCTCTCTCTTTATCTTCTTTCATCATTTGTATGTAGAGCTATGAGGATGCCTTTGGGTGCAAGGGACTTGAGCCCTTGACTCAAGTAGCATAAATAATAAAGAAAATCTATTATATCACAGTATGAGCCCCAAGGTATGGTATTGTCAAGGTTGGCTAATTTAGTCCCTTACACTAAGGTTATTTCTATTTTTAGTCCATCATCCTCATTACTTTTGATTGTCCTTGTGCTAATTTAGTTCCTGATTATGTGACAGCTGCCACAATTTCTAGGCATCGTGCACAGAAACAATCTACCCACCAGAAGAAAGAGGCCCCCTCTTGTTACTTTTTTTGGGGGGGAAGGAGTATTGGGGATTAAACTCAGGACTTTTCACTGAGTTATATCCTGAGCCCTTTTAAATTTTTTGAGATAGGGTCTTGCTAAGTCACTAAGTTGCCAGATTTGCTATCCTTCTGCCGCAGCCTCCCAGCATGCTGGGGTTACAGGCATGTGCCACCACATTCAGCTGTGTAGCTTTTTTTTTTTTTTTTGTCTTTTTGAGACAAAAAGACAGGGTTTCATTCTGCAGTTCAAGCTGTCTTGAACTCACTTTGTAGCCCAGGCTGGCTTCAAACTTGCAGTGATCCTCCTGCCTCAGCCTCCCAAGTGCTGGGATTATGAGTGTGCACCACTAGGCCCAGCTCAGCTGTGTAACTTTCTAAATGGGGGAATAAACCTTTCCCACAAGCTTTTTCCATACTCCATCACAGATTTGCAGACTTTGACCAGAATTAATCCCTGTGCCTGTGGATGAATCAGTCTCTGGTAGGGAAATAAGACTATGATTAGCTTAGGACAATAAAAAATTGTGACCCTCATACTCTTAACCAAGCACCCAAGGTCTAGAAGAGGTGTAGCTGTTGAAATGCAAAGATTTAAGGAGGAACTAGATTCTTATCTTTATCCCAAATCAGCAAATATCCAGGTTAAAAATAGCTGCAGCGTACCATTCAACCTATCCATAAAGTCTTAGCTGTTTGAGAAGCTCCTCAATGCGTTTCAATTACTTTTTTGGAATTTTTTCTAGAATTTTGAATTGATTTTTGTGTTAGTACAAATCTGCCTCCAGCTGCTCTATTACATTCAGAAGTGGAAATCTCTGGTCTTTGATTCTCTCTGTGTAGTTTCTTCTTATGTGAACTCCCTGGTTGCCTCAGGAATTCTCCAAAGCTTCAAGTGATGGGAGGCAGTATTTTGCATGGTTGTTCTAGTACTTTCACAAAGAGCATTAGTTTATTGCAAATTACTCTGCCATAATCTTACTTATTCATAGTCTTACTCATTGTATGTTAAATAAAATAACTTACATAAAGCAATTACTCTATGCCTCATCCCATGTGAATTTCTTCTAGATTTAGGAACAAGGGCAGAAGTATATTTTATTATGGTAAAAATTGAAGAGCATAACCAGGATCCTCATCCAGATGGGAAGCTACTTCAATTCTGCCCTCTAGGAAGATTTTATGGATTATTCTGGTCCTTAAAGAATCTTTCTGTTTTGTCCAAAATCACATCCCATACATGACTACCTCTTTTAAGCATCATGCCAGAAATCTTAGCCAGTAAAGAAGGAAAGATGTAAAAATTAGATTGGAAGCAAAATAATAAAATTGACATTATTTATAGAGAATATGTTTACTCATGTAGAAAATAAAAAATAACCTATCACTAGATTATTATAATAAACATGAGAATTAAGCAAGATTGTTGGATATAAGAGTATGATAGCCTATAAGATGGTCCCAGTAGGGCTGGGGATGTAG